ACTCCCGTCTTATGACGGGCTAATTGGCTAGTTCATAATAATGGCCTGACAATATCCAGCTAAAATCGCTACCATGCCGGTGCAAATCAATTCAGCTCTCTTGATCTGCTCAAAGCACTTCTAACAAATGACTTGAGAGGCACAGAGTTTTTCCTCGCATTTTTTTATTAGCGGAGTATGAAAACAGGCATTAACTATACAGAAAGCAAGACTGGCACAAGTGGTACATAGTATCATGCGGCAGCTTTTTCAAAATGAATGTAAACTCTTTGTTTTAACTATCAGAATAAATAAATATCATACACATGTCTGGGTTTGCAGAGAGCGACGTCTAAAACACAAAGTATTACACTACAGCTTAATTTTACAGCAGTCTGTACAGGATATAACTTGATTCTTTTCCCCCTTGAAAAGTCTTTGTTCCTTTGCAAGATATGTTTGACACACACATGGTTACACTTTGGAGCTAACTGGACAACTGGTCAGTAGCCAAAAGGGCCGTCAATACTGTTGGAGAAAAAATACTAAAAAGTTACGTGAAACGGCAAAGACACATCTAAACGTCAGCAGCTTTATGACAGTCCTTCTCAATAGCTAGACAGGTTATGAAAGGTGTGGCTACAGATAGTACACCAAACATGAGATTAAGTTCCTGTAGGGTTAACTGATGTCTTTGTAAGACAACTTACAAATGGCTGTTGCACTGGAGTATATGTATTGTAGTCTGTCCAGACTGACAGGTCTATTTTTAGTATACTACAAATATGCTGGATTCTTGGGCCACGTTTTGTTCTCAGTTATGCAGATGTGAGTCTGGACTGATTTCCGTGAAATTGGTGGAATTACTCTAATCTTACATCAATACATTTGAGAGCAAAGTCTGGTTCCTCCTCAACTTTTAGAAGTACTAACAGCTTTTGTGCCACACGTCTCTTAGAAACCGATAAGATCTCATGCCACTGGCCTATCCGGAATCTTGTAGAAGCTACAGGTTGATCCTCTCCAGTCCAACACATCGGGATCTGACAGTCCCAAACAAGAGAATTCGCCAAACCACAGGAGGTCAATATTGTTTAGCAACATTATTAACACTTCTACTGCTTACTGGGCTCTTAGAAGATATTTAGAGCTAAGTAACAGCCCAGAACACTGAGAGCCAGGACTGGTGGCTGTAAACAAACTTTATGGGACCGTGGATAAGTGGACATCCAGCTAACTAAAATCATACTGAACCATGGACGTTAATGGACCAGAGAGCTGGACTAGAGAGGTTCAACCTGTACTGGGCATAAATCAGCACAGTTCCATTTCAGTCAGTAGAGATGCAACTCATTTATGAGAGTGGAGAATATGGCCTCTTGTTTTTAAATCAAGGTTAAAGTTTCCCTTGGAGTAGTGTTAGAAATCGGAGAATGAACGGAATGTTTCTGGCCATGCAGTCAGGGACAGAACAGGGGATCGGCAAAAACAATTGTTTCCTACATAGAATGTTCATTGTTACTAGATTGGGTTTTGAATCTGATGGAGAATCTTTGCCTGACTCGTAAATACGCATTCTTGTTTTCCCCCAGTCTATCATTTAGCTTTTGATTCGCGCGTGAGTCACTTAAAAAATAAACAGCTATTTAGATTCATCGAACTACAGGTGCTTATTGTCTCATTTCCAAGTAAAGTGTAAAGAGGAGCAAAGGGCGCACAAAGGGTAGTAAAACCAATGCAGCTTGTAAGACCAAAAGGAAAATTCTCTGCGTTCACTAGGTTTCACTCAATCTCACAGTCATTATAAATAAACCTTCATATCATGGTGACTTTGATTTTGTTTTTCTTTCAGAAAGGTTTTTCTTTTTTAAATCCTATTACACATTTAAACCCTAAAACCCATATTTTTGTCTCCAGTCTTTGTTAAAACTCATGCCAATAGGAGTTTGTCCCAATGCTCAAGGATAGAAAACAACCTCAAATTCCCCACTTATATCCCTGCCACTAGGGTGTTTTCCTGATCCAAGATGCACAAGTATGTTTGGCTACCATGGTTTCAAGAACCTAGAACTGGCAGAAGTTCTTCAGACATTGACATTTTTAAATTAAAAAGAAAAAAATTGTCACTTTTTTAGCCACCCGTAGACCTGGCTGAAATGTTTCAAATTGGACTTCTGGACATTTTGGGAAAAAAATGCAGATAAAATTTGCAACTCCTACCCCCTTTTATTTCACATGCAGGCATTTCAAAGATGGTTTGCAAATCGCCTGCCTTTGTGTCTAGACTACCTAGTTTTGTCGACAAAAGTGGACTTTTGTCAACAAAACAATACCAGCGTCTACACTATCGCGGAGTTCTGTCGACATAACGTCGACAGAACTCCGCGGTTTTGTCGACGCTGGTATACCTCATTTTACGAGGCATAACACTTTCTGTCAACAGAACTCTGTCGACAGAAGGTGTTATTGCCTGTAACACTGCGTCCAGACTACGGAGTTCTGTCGACAAAGCGGCTTGCTTTGTCGACAGAACTCCATGTGTCTGGACGCAAATTGTCGATGGAAGTTTTGTCGACAGTATCTGTCGACAAAACTTCCGTCGACAAAACGCGGTAGTCTAGACGTACCCTTAGTCTGCTTTGTTGTAACCCTTTACATCCATATTTTTCTGAGGTGGAACTGATCCTATGAGGCAGAGTCTGGGGCTCTCTTAGGAGGCTCTCGGCAACTCTCAGGATAGGTTTGTATTTGGCAAATATAGTGTGAATGCAGAATTGTAGGTTTTGGAAAATGTGGTGAACTCCTTGCTGGAAGATGTGGTGAAGGCTAGGACTTTAGCAGGGGTCAAAAAAAGAGCTGGATAGATTCATGGCGATTAGGTCCATCAATATCTCTTAGCCAGGATGGGTAGGAATGGTGTCCCTAGTCTCTATTTCTCTGGAGGTGGGTGATGGGAGGGATCATGTGAGGACTGCCTGTTGTGTTCCTTCCTCTGGGCATCTGGCATTGGCCACTGTCGGCAGACAGGATGCTTGGCTGGATGGACTATTGGTCTGACATGGGATGGTTGTTCTTATGGTGCAAAGGGAAGTTATGTGAGTAAAACCAAAGGAAAAAAAATCTCATGTCCATTGGGCCATTGAGACAGTCCCCAGGTACATATACTTTTCATGGCCCATGTAAAATAGAAGTTGTGGAGATTCTGGGGGTCCTTGCCTGGTTATCTTTAAGGAAGCCAGCATGTTCATTCCCAATATCTATGCTATGCATTTTGATCGGGGAATGTGCTTCCCCCAATCAAACGATTACAGACAAATTCATGTCTGACAGCTAAGCGTGGACGATAGAACACTGCTAAGTTTAAAAAAAAAATCACTCAGCCGCGGAGCAGCATCACAGTAAGAGTGGTGGAAGCAAGGAGCAGCTTTGCTTTTTTATTTTAGGTGCCTGTCTATTGGGAATGCTAGGGAACAAGTGAAAAGCAAGGTGAAAATAGCACCTCTGAAAACAGATGGTGCTGTATCTGCCAGGATCATTATGCGGTCTTCTCCATCAGTGACGTTTTGTGCATTACGTAGCTGTGCTACGTGTGATGTACACGTTATCTGTCACATTTAATGAGAAGAAATGATAAAAGGAGGAGAATTGTGACCATTTAGAAATTTCGACCATGTATGGATGGTATAAAATGCAGAGGCAAGAGAGCAAAATCTTTAATTTTTTCCCCACATAGTGGTTGTTTTTGTTTGTTTGTTTTTTTGAAATTCATCAAAACTGTGAAATTCAGTCAGCTTGGTCTAATAAAAAGAGCCAAAAGGAGAGGTGATTTGGAACAAGGTCCAATTTATCCAAACACCTGAAATTCCTGCAGGATACAAGACTTGCCTTCCCTACCTGTTTATGGTTGCAGTCTACAATGTCAAATTCAGCACGGACAGTCCTGGGAATTAACAAACATTTGTGACATGGAAAGATTCCTCCCCACACCCAGAGTGATGAAGACTTGAGATTCTTGTTTCTCGATCAGTGGCCGTTAAGATTAAAAGAAGACCACGAGTCTGACTCACTGTGGTTTTATCCATGTGTCACTCTGTGGATTTTAATGGAGTGACATTAGCCTAGAAGGGAAGAAATACAACGGTGAGAACAGGACCTGTCTCGTGAATACCAGTACTATCTCCGGAGATAAATAGGATTAGACATGTAACGTGCATGTTAGGCTCATTGGATTTTGCTACACTGGGATTCTGGAAGGAATTTCCTCCTGAGGCAAGATGACTAGAACCTTAGGGAAGTTTCTGCTTCTTCGGGAAGATTGAAGGAAGTTTATTGTAGCGTCAGGTGGGTATGTCCACTCCACTCCATTTCCTGAGCTTGCTGAGGGCTACGGGGAGAGGTTGGATGCTGATAGTTTTGAATCCTTATGTTCTATGGTGTATCCCACAATATCATCTACTGTAACAATAGCACTGTCCTGACTTGCACAAGAATGTTGTTACTTCAGTCCTACAGTATCAGAACTGAAAGTCACGTCACTAAGGCCACCATTCTCAATGTCCCACCCTGTCACCGTTTCTGGTATGCCTGAAACTCTCATCAGGGAAGAGGGAAGAATTCAACATCTTGAGTAGCACATGGTCTCAGTTCCAGGAGCAAAATTTGGCTTTGGATGTTTAAAATGGTTTTCAGTTGCTCTGCTCTAGCAAAACCATCTGCACACCTACCCATCCTCATCCTTAGGGCAGCAGGAGAGAGGGAGGGGAGGAAACAAAATGGGAATGTGGGAGGAAATCCAAGTAAAGCTCATTTTGGGGGTCAGTGGTTTTGCGTGGCAGGCACCTATATGCTAAAAAAAAAAACCAACGAATAGTCTAGTAGCACCTTAAAGACTAACAAAATATGTAGGTAGTATCATGAGCTTTTGTGGGCAAAACCCACTTCTTCAGATGACTGGAGTATAAGGAGTCTAGATCCAAGAATAAATAAGGGAAGGGAGGGGGGAGGGAAAAAGAGAGGGTCCAAGAATAAATAAGGGAAGGGAGGGAGGAGGGGAAAAAAAAAGAGGAAAAAAAAGTGTGGGATTTTCCAGAAGGCCTAAGAAAGGGTACCCATATGGTTTGGTTTTATTTGGAAGATCTCAGACAAAACACCCGTTATCGGGCTGCATCTTGCCGTGTTGGTGATGACATACATTATTCTGTCAATCACTTGAGCTGAATGAACATTTCCCATCGGAACGTTTGTCTGAAGTTTACGCACGCTTCTTTCCATTTTTGGTGAAAATGTGTCTTCCGTAGCTCACCTCCCCCGGTGAAAAAAAAAATTGTCTGAAATTTTTGAAAGACAGTGAAGAGAAGTTTCCCAATCAGTTCTAGTCACCACTGGTAACTCATTGAGAGAGACTTTTCGCAGAGCAGCTTTTGACTGTTGCAGTAGAGTGGGTTGTATTATTTTCCCCACATTTAGAAAAGTACATTGGACATTATCTTCTGTACTCGCGTAATTGCATTGGTCATGGGACGGGGCTAGGCAAAATAGAAGTCAATGAATGCTTTTAGCTCAACAGATATTCTTGTTATATGTAGATAAACATACACTAATCTCATACAGGCCAGATTTTAGCTGGGGTAAACTAGCATAGCTCTATTAACAGTATCAGCTAAGGATCAGGCTCATAAAGATTTGAATAAAAAATGTATAACATCCCACCGGGCTGGCGGATGGCTGGATCTGGCATTTTGCTTTGGCTTTCCATCAAGAGGAATGGCCATTTGCAAAACTGAGATCCAGATCGCGGTTTGGATTTTAGTCATCTCCAAAAATCAGGAGCGTTCAGATATGGGTATTTGTTTAGCCCCACCTCTAGCCTATCTTTCTCTCGTTAGTCAGTTTCTGAGACAAATCGGGGAGCCCCCAGCGTTTGTGGTCTGAGGACAGAATTTGGCATGGAGACAATTTTCCTAAACACAGCTTGAACTAATCACGGTTTTGATGAACCGCCATATAATGCAAGTGGCGTATGAACGCAGCAGGAGTTCATACCAACTTTTTATTGTTCTTTGTTGTCCAAGTTAGACCAAAATGCTTTTTTACACATCATTTATAAATAGCAGAGTATACACTTCAGTGAAGAACAAAGACGCAGCAACCTCAATTAAAAAAAAGTCTTACGAATTTGACAAAATCTAGTGCTCTCATTTTTCCTCACTTTCTAACCAGCAGTGCAGGGTGGCAAATTCTTTGTCCTCTATCTTTGAAGAAGTGCTTTTAAAACGTTCCTACCCCACAGGAAGTGCTTTAACAGGAAATAAGCCTTTACATCATTTCCTGGCATTTACAAAATCTGTGTTAATGGAGACCTGGAGAAGATATGCTAATGGCATTCAGAAACGTTTCTTTCAATTGCTCTTGTGAGCCTTGTTTAGAACGCCAGTCAAAGAAGTGCGACTCAGAACTGGCAAGTTTTTTTTTTTTGGATTGTAATTTTGCTTCTAGTTACTATACATCTAAATCTGAAATACGTGGGGGAAGGGGAGGAAGCAAAGCAAAATGCTCCACATTTCTGCATAAGGCAACACTGACAGCAACACACAAAGTTGAAGGATGCTTTCAACAATGGAATCTGTACACAGTATGAAACTGGAGGTGGCGTGGGAATGAGGTTTTCCAAAGAACAAAACAAAACACAGTTGGCACTCTATCACAGTATCAACGAAAGAGGGATCTTTCCGAACATGACAGGTTTAACTCCTCAGTCCTCAGGATAGTTTTTTTTTGTTTGTTTTAAATCTAAGTACACACCCTCTTCCTTTCCTTTTTAAATGTTACCATGGAAGTAGGGCAGTAGCTGTATCTGATGTGAAAATGGAGCTACAGGAGAAGTAAAGGAGTTAAGTTTCCCCCGAAAGGGAGCACCTTGATCCATGTGGAGACCAGAGCTGTGCATTTTCCGTTTAGCTGGGTGCCTTCCCTTGAGGCCGACAGTAGGGTGGGGTTTTCCCTGCTGCCGGGCGATCAGTTTGGTAAGGTGTCAAGTCCAAGGGAGGCAGCGTGCTGCTTTGCCCGGAGCCTTAGATTCTCGATACTCGTCGTTTTACTGTTCAGCGTCGGCAGGGAGCTAGAAGCCTGCAAGATGGGCGAAGACCAGACCTGCTGGGCGTGGGAGAGCGACTGGTAATACGACTGGCAGTGGAGAGAGCTGAGGGGGGCCATGTTGACGTTCATGCCCAAGTAGGGCATGGTGGACGGGGTCCCCATTTCAAAGGAGGAGTAATGGACCAAGTTGTTAGTGGCGGCCATGTGCTGGCGGAACTGCTCCTGCAGACGGAAGAGGCTCAGAGGCGAAGAGGAGTAGGAGTGAGTCGGAGGCATGCCGCTGCTGGAGGAAGGTGTCACCGTGGCACTGATGGGAGACTCTGTGTTAGAAGACAAGATGTAAGGGTGGAAAAAGGGGCGGGGGGAAGAGTTATACTTATTGGGCAGCTGAGTAGAACAACAGCCTTAACGAGAGTGGCACAGCTGTGTTTGTGGCACACAGAAAAGGTGAGAGGAAGGGGTGCGTTGGGCCTTTTCTAGAGTAAGTTCTCCCAAGCAGGGAGGGCATAGGCAAATCACCATCCACGTTAATTAACCGGAAGCCAAATTGAGCAAGGGGGTTGATAAATGAATGATCCGGATCAGTGTTTCTGTAACTGCCTCCCTTGATCCTTTCCAGGCAAGGCTCAGACAAAGGCTTGGGGCTATGACTGCGAAGACCCAACAAAACCAGATTTTTCCATCCTGCTAGTTCAGAGGAGACCTTGTTGGTTAAGTCCTAGAGTCATAGAACACTAGAACTGGAAGGGACCTCGAGAGAACATCAAGTCCAGCCCACTGCCTTCCGGGCAACACCATGCACCATCTAGACCATCCCTAACAGGTGTCCATCTAACCTACTCTTAAATATCTCCAGTGATGGAGATTCCACAACCTCCCTAGACAATTTATTCCAGAGTTTAACCCCCCTGACAGGAAGTTTTTCTTATTTTCTAACCTAAATCTCCCTTTCCTGCAATATAATCCCATTGCTTCTTGTACTAAAGTGGAGTCTATGGTGGAGAAACCGTAGCAAGCAAGACTGGAG